AAAAAAATTCAGAAAATCACATTGTAGGATTTTTAAAGAATTATGGTGGAAAATAAGTATTTGGTCAATAACACAATTTCATCTCAATACTTTGTTATATACGCTTTGTTGGCAATGACAGAGGTCAAACTTTTTCTGTAAGTCTTCACAAGGTTTTCACACACTGTTGCTGGTATTTTGGCCCATTCCTCCATGCAGATCTCCTCTAGAGCAGTAATGTTTTGGGGCTGTCGCTGGGCAACATGGATTTTCAACTCCCTCCAAAGATTTTCTATGGGGTTGAGATCTGGAGACTGGCTAGGCCACTCCAGGACCTTGAAATGCTTCTTACGAAGCCACTCCTTCGTTTCCCGGGTGGTGTGTTTGGGATCATTGTCATGCTGAAAGACCCAGTCACGTTTCATTTTCAATGCCCTTGCTGATGGAAGGAGGTTTTCACTCAAAATCTCACGATATATGGCCCCATTCATTCTTTCGTTTACACGGATCAGTCGTCCTGGTCCCTTTGCAGAAAAACAGCCCCAAAGCATGATGTTTCCACCCCCATGCTTCACAGTAGGTATGGTGTTCTTTGGATGCAACTCAGCATTCTTTCTCCTCCAAACATGACAAGTTGAGTTTTTACCAAAAAGTTCTATTTTGGTTTCATCTGACCATATGACATTCTCCCAATCCTTTTCTGGATCATCCAAATGCTCTCTAGCAAACTTCAGATGGGCCTGGACATGTACTGGCTTAAGCAGGGGGACACGTCTGGCACTGCAGGATTTGAGTCCCTGGTGGCGCAGTGTGTTACTGATGGTAGCCTTTGTTACTTTGGTCCCAGCTCTCTGCAGGTCATTCACTAGTTCCCCCCGTGTGGTTCTGGGATTTTTGCTCAGTTCTTGTGATCATTTTGACCCCACGGGGTGAGATCTTGCGTGGAGCCCCATATCGAGGGAGATTATCAGTGGTCTTGTATGTCTTCCATTTTCTAATAATTGCTCCCACAGTTGATTTCTTCACACCAAGCTGCTTACCTATTGCAGATTCAGTCTTCCCAGCCTGGTGCAGGTCTACAATTTTGTTTCTGGTGTCCTTTGACAGCTCTTTGGTCTTGGCCATGGTGGAGTTTGGAGTGTGACTGTTTGAGGTTGTGGACGGGTGTCTTTTATACTGATAACGAGTTCAAACAGTTGCCATTAATACAGGTAACGAGTGGAGGACAGAGGAGCCTCTTAAAGAAGAAGTTGCAGGTCTGTGAGAGCCAGAAATCTTGCTTGTTTGTAGGTGACCAAATACTTATTTTACCGAGGAATTTACCAATTAATTCTTTAAAAATCCTACAATGTGATTTTCTGGATTTTTTTTTCTCATTTTGTCTCTCATAGTTGAGGTATACCTATGATGAAAATTACAGGCCTCTCTCATCTTTTTAAGTGGGAGAACTTGCACAATTGGTGGCTGACTAAATACTTTTTTGCCCCACTGTATATATGTTGACTACTATTCAGTTTCAAGTTGAATGAGTTAAGATGAGCATAAGCTTTTTTTCTGGAGAGAAATTACCTTATGAACAGTAAAAAAGTGCTTAGTATTTTTTCAGTAATTGAAAAAAAAATTTTTTACTGAAAATTGCAGGGCTTGGCTGTAAATTACACGTAGCTATCTACATCACAGCTAAAACACATCTAACTATTCATTCTATATATTCATTCTGTGTACCTCTAAATGTGTTACTTCTTCACCTGTCCCCTGGTGTGGACCGTGTCAGCCCTTGTACTTTCCTTAACACAAAAAAAGAAAAAGTAAGTTAGTGTCTTGCATTCAAATTAATCTTTCACAGATAGGTTTAACAGTGTGTTCATACATTTAAAAAAATAAAATAATAATAAAAAAAACAATGCTGTGTTTTTTTTTGTTTTTGTTTTTTTTAACAACAGTAAATATCAAACAGACCACCAGATGGCAATATAGTCTCCAGCAAAGTGAAAGTAAACAAGCATGATTTCTGTTTGGGAACTTAGCAGTGGTTTAACTACATCTTTCTAGCATAAACGTAGTTATCTTTATACCATGATTTTCTTCAGCATCAAAACAAAGCTTTCGAACAAGAGCAGTAACTTGTCACTTAAATGCATTAAGCTCAGTTTAATACACAGATTAAACATCTAAAATATCTAAAAATCTGATGTCCATAAAATGAAAGTCAGACTGTAGCCTGTAGATCTGGGAGTCATTTGCTTGATGAACATCGCTTCAGAGTTTTTTAGCTGACGTGGGCCTGCCATTGCAGCTTTCAACACAGAAAGTTCTGTGTTTCAGAGATATCACCCCATCACAATCATCCACCCTGCAATTACACAGGACCTCTTGGATATGAAAAAAAACTACATTCATATTTCACTACCGATTAGCAAATGAGGCACTAGTTTATTTTAATTATGAAAAACTTTGCCAGTGACAAAGAAAAAAAAAATCAATGTCTTGTTATACCAAAAGCGAAGCAGAACTCAAGTCAAGTGCTGTGTAGTCAATTTGTCCATGCCCCACTTTGTTGCCAAGTAAGATACGAGTAAGATACTTCGGTGCAACTCAGCCATTCATGAAGCTAATGATAAATACAATTAATTCAACATTTTTTCTATTAAAAAAAAATATGTAAATTGAACATTTATTTCAGCCGCAATCAAGGAATTGCAAAGACATAAATAAATTGCTAAAGTTGCTTTTAGTCTGTCTATTGGTTTTGAGTTCATCTATATGCAAGTATCTAAACACTAACAAAGTTGAACAGATGCATGTTCAACATATGCATTTAAGATCGAGATATATGCATTTAAAATATACAGTCTCGGTCTTCTGGAAATTGGTTAATCGGAAAATTAATTATTCATAAATGACTAGAGAAATTCTGTGTATTCTATAGAATGAGAACATTATAAATATCACTTGCCTTGCCTCCCACTAAATATGCTTCCCATTGGGGTGAAAGAAGCCTAGACTTGTGTCCATGTCGACCATTATACTCCAGAGACAGGATAGTACAGAGCAGATCATTTGAGAGAGTCAATCGTGCTTCCCTTGACAGTGCGGCACAGACTACAAAACATCTGCATTCCGTTTGAATTGTATACAAAATATTAAATTCATACTAAAGCACTATAAGAGTTAGATAAGTTAGATATTAAACGAATAGACAGATTTAACATTATAAACAACACTAAGGAGAAAACAAGACGACACTACAACTAGGCCTACACATCAACATTACTATAATGTAACACATTTTACCGTTGCTGTAACTGGAATTCTGACAGAAACGTTAGTTCCATATTAAATCTACTTTGATTATGTGACTGTTGATTAGTCAACATCACATGCAACAGATTAATGCACAATATTTTACATTTAATACACATTAAGTCTCTGAATGTAATTTCAGTAAAACCTCTCAAAGTCCTCGGGTAGAAATGCTACACATGGGACATGAAAGCTGTGAAACCCAAGCCTGAAAAAGTGCCTTATTATTGTTGGCTAAAGCTGATATTTACAAAAGGAGAAGGGGAAAACCTACATTGCTGTGTACTTAAGAACTCCCTAGCAAGCAGTGCAAAAGCTTATTATTTCTCTCCCAGCCTGGTCTATGCCTCTTAACATGATGCCACGCCCTCTAACAACATTCCTGTCCCACTATACATATATGTTCTACTTCCTTTACCCTTTTTTAAACGTATATAGTCCACGGTACCATTTGCACAGCGGCTGTTGTCACAAATCTGACAGATTCCTCACAGTGCGCTTTTGGAGGAGCAAAGTGAGTGGGAGGGTAAGAAAAAAAGAAATCCAAAAAAAAAAAAAAAAAAAAAAATACTTTGTAAAATTAATACCACTTTAAAAATTCACATTGACTTCAAAAGTGTTAGGGGTCCAAAACACCCTTTAGTGTTGTAGAAAAAGAAAAACAAACCCTACAAACTATATTTCAGCCACTTGTATATGACAGATTTCTCCCAGGGCGCTTTTGGAGGGGAAAAGGTGGGGGGGAGGGAAAAAAAAAAAAAAACAAAAAAAAAAAAAAAAAGGGGTAAAGGCAGATGTGTACATCCATGACTGAAACATGGAACAATCATGGACCAAAGAGGCAGCAGAGGCACATTACATTGCCCAACACGTTAATTGTGTGCCCAAGCAGGCACATCTTACTTTCTCTTAACCACAGAAACTGAGCTCAAAACAACTCTGACACCAAGTATAGCACAGCTTATCTTTCTTTGTATAAGTGAGATATCCTTTAGCTTTCACAAGAGTATAAACCACGTCACTACCAGAGCATTACTGGAGGGTATTTGCTTAAAGCAGATGGCTCTTCCCCAAAATCATATGATCTGCTATGATCCATGTAAGCAGACACTTCATAATACCTCCAGTGTTTGTACTAGGGATGCACCGATATGAAAATTTTGGCCAATACGATAACCGATAATCCTTTATTTTTGAAAGCCGATAACCGACATGTTGGCCGATAAATTTATATCCAAATTTTTATATACTTTTTGAGAGCCTGATTACAAAAAAGGTTTCATCATTAAAAACCACATCCCGAACACTTCAACATAAGCAGCCTAGTTTGAACGGTGTATGTTTTAAAAATAATTTTACTCTCCCATTACCAAATTTAGTCATAAAAAAGTCTTACAAATAAAATAATGCATAAATAATGCAAACAAGTCATTGGACATCATTACACGTGTAAAGAATCTAAATGAATGCGCCACAGATCAATAAAATGGAATAGCCTCTGCACGGACAATAATTAAATGATTTTAATTACTAAACCATATTGCTGATGAAAATAATAATAGAAAAATACAAGTGGTTGTTATTATTAATAATGTATCAATGATTTTGAAAAAGTAACAAATTAATACCACTGTTTTAAATAGCAGCCGTTGAGCTGCGCGTGCTGAAGCTGAAGAGCTGAATGAATACGGTAAACTGAAGCGTTTTGCTAGCAGCTTATTTAATTCAAGGAAAGGCATCCTGAGATTAATATTAATACAACATAAACATAATATTACAACTTATATATGTACAAAATGATGCAGTTATTGAGTGCTATAGTCAGAATGTGTGATCCTGTTGTGGATGCGCTCTTCCCATAACAACGCGCTGAAACACAGCAACTAAACCCAAAGAATTCACAACGTTTGTTTGTACAATCATTAGACATCAACAATGAAATAGAACACATCTTTGTGAACTATGGAGTTGTAGTCGGGACCTTTTAAGCAGACCAAGCTTTGAGGTCTAGCAACAAAGAGCGTCATACTGGAGAGTGTAAGACTGAAACAAAACTAGAAAAAAGGAAACCCCCAGATAATTACTGTTGTAAAAAAAAGGACCAAGAGGACCTGAAAAGCGGAGGGAACCCATTATAAACCTTAACTGTTTGGCGTATGAATCATAATTTGGTAACAATATACACCCAGCAATTCTTGCTGAAAGACAAGTGGGCGTTACTGCTTATGCTTTCATTCAATCCATTGTCAAAGCAACAAATTGGCACAAGGTTCTGCTTAGTCTAATAGCTGATGTTTTATGCATGTCATAAACTAATAGATAAGGGAACCTACTGAATTGCCAAGGCTAATGCTCAAACTCTCTCCCGTCTTCTTTTATATTCTGAAAGAAAGCAAGAAAGGAGAGGGAATTCAGACGTAATATAAGTAAATATTTCAATACATCGACGCCAAAAACAATCCAAAACCATCAATTAAAAAAAAAATGTACATTCAACTCAAGTATCACACTTTTATCTTTTAAAGCAAAAAGCTTAATAATAATAGTTTTGCTTGCATGGTTTCGAGACCTTAAGCTAGTGGATCAGACTGACTTTATTTCCTTTTTCCTTTAAAAATGCAGCCCCACCCTAGTTGGCTTTATACTTTGGTTTGCCCTAAGAGGGCGACAGTGACTGAAACGGTTACGATACGAGCACACAAAACGGGGAGTTTTCCTTTGCACGAACCAAAGACAGAAGCGTACACATGTCTGCACAAGATTAAACGTTTCCTCTGGCTGTTGAATAATTGCCTGACTAGTCCGACTACAGTACTGAAAGTCACAGTTACGTTTGTGTTTAAATACTAAGTTTGATAACTAATTATTGTTAAATACAATCAACAGCATCACTCCCTCAAAATAAACTCAGCCTGGCAGCAAATCCACCCTGTGCTCTAAACACTGGGAATCTTAAAGACTGTTTGCATGGTTTGAAAGCTCTTAGTGCTCCAATGTAAATGGGAGATATTGCACAACTGTAAAACTACATTTATAAAGACTCAGCACTTAGATAAGTGATAGAATTGTTGGGCAAACAACCAGACCACTAATTATAGAAAAGGCAACACTTTTTTCATTAAAGTGTTGTAATGTTTAATAAAAGACACACACACATACAGTCAGCCATTACACAATGCAATAACATAAATTGTGGCCTTTGGCTGTGCCTACAGGAGTTGCTTGGTTGCTCACCCTTTAGCAGACACGTTTTTTCCAAAGCAAATTATAGGATACGTTTTAATGCGACAAGTGTCAGCCATATTTCTTCATTAAATGCTCATTATTCATTTCTGACAAAGCGAGAGCTGATACATGAAAACGGATAATTACTATTTGGTTAAAAGTTCTACTTTTACTTCCACATGGACTCAATTCAAAACCACAAGTGACCAAACTCTCGTGCAAAGACATACGCTTTCAATCTTATTGTGGAAATATCACCTATTTAGAGGAACAAACAGAAGACGAAGATAAAACCATAAAAATGTGCTGTGGTGAATCACATTTAATAACATCATAAAGCCTTAAACGCATACGTATAAATATTTTAGATGCATGTATATTAGCTAAAAGCTTTCACTTGAATTGAGGAAGGTTTTAGTCTATTTTTTGACTAGTTTGTTTATCCCATTAACAAGGCTTTTCAAACCGAGTCATAGGATATGAGTCAGCAACCAAATACACAGCGATGACTGATGGCAAGGTGGTTTTCTTACCAGCTCAGGGTGCATTATATTTCATTTTCCATCAGCTGGTTTTATAGTTAGGACTGTGTCACCACTGCCAAGCGTTTTGTAGAAGTGAAAAGGCATGTGGTTTGAAACGTCCAAATAAGTCAGATCCGAGCTTTCTGCTCATCTATAATTACTACTAGAAACAAACTCATGTAAACTGCACATGGAACGATCTAACCTCTGCAGCCAGTATCCTTGGTCTGTTGTAAACAAGTAGATGTGCATACCTACATTACTGAAATGGCGTGATGTAGTACGAGCTGTAGTCAAACACTTATTCTACGCCGAGACATGCCGATCATTAAATCGCCTTACAGCACACTTTGGAATGCATTAGAACTATTAAACTATGGCCTCGCTGTGTACTTTGCCTTAAAAATTTATTTTTAAAATAAGTGTGCAACTTTCATCATCCACAAGCAGCTCTTACATCACTCACTGGAACCAAGAAAACATATCAAGTGTCACTGCAGTGCATATTTTTATTGTTATTCATTGATATGGAATATTAGTTGGCAGTAAACACACTTGCATAAATGTACTTGGTCAATTAAAAGCGCACAATAAACCTAAATCAACATTTAATCCATTATATCATGCAGCAATGACGGGTGTGGCTAACAGGAAATAACATGTCACGCAAGTTAGTGCGTGTATTTCACCTTGGCTACAATATAACCCATTTACTTGCTGCATCATTAAATTATGGTTTGCGCATATTATGAAGCACATCATTTCTAAAAGTAACTGCCTGAAAACAAGAGGACTCATACATAATTGAAGCATTGAAGTCAGGCCAAAAACAAACAGCCTTGGACAGACATTGAAGCCTAACCAATCTTACTGTCATGTGATACTAAACTTTAATGAAATGCAGACCGTATCTTCTATTTCAAGGCTGACAACAAATGTAATCTAGTAATCCAAACTGAACTGCAGAAGTACAGTTTATCATAGGCACACGTACAAAAAGAAATCTAGCTATCTGAGGTCCAAAATTTATAATAAATCAAATATTAATTTCAAGATAGCGATAAATAATACAAAACCGTAAAACTATAAAAATAAGTAGGCCCATTTTAAAAAAGTCAGTAAATGGAATCAATTGGAAATGCCAACAATTATGATAATAAAAAAATGTTTAAGGCACGTGTGCCAAACTGTTACAACACAACTCTGTCAATATGGAAAATGATGAAATATGAATGCCTGACTCTGACTCAGAGCCATATTGGCAAACAGATAGTGTATTGTCCAACTCCGTTTTAGCTTCAAGCTAGTATTTCTCAACCATGGAATGATGATAACTCCAGGGTCTGTCTGAACAGGAAGACACGTACTAAGATAATGCAAGTCTCAGACTTCATACTTCAAAACTCTTCAAATGATCCTGACATCCTGTGCTGCATCGTGCTGACAACTTATCTGCGATGGATCATCATCACAATTTCACGGAGAACTGATTTCTTTCATTCGGTACCTTTATAGAAAAAAAAAAAATCAAATGAAGATTCGAGATGTGAGAAAACGAACAAACAACGAATGAAACGCTCTGCTAAAAAAGCCTGCCACTCCTCCCTTGGCGTTGTCACCGCAAGCCCTCGACAAGCCTTTAAGGAAACGACAAAGGAAGTGTGCACAAGTCCAAGCTCTTTCCGTTTCACGCTAGAATAGATGGTCCTACGACATACACACTAATCTGACCCATCAACACAGAGGAGCAGAACGTTTTGCCTCCACTGTAAATGTCCGGAGCTATCCTGCATCAGATAATAACACACAGTCCCTAAAACTTTGTTTCTATTCAACATCCAATTCCTAAATCATTCAAGATAAGCAAGAAGCACCCTGTTCTGTTTTAAACAAAACACAGTGTAACCTTCAAATACAACCAAGGTTGAAAGACATTGCTGAACATGAATGCGGCAACCACGCATGCAGAAAATAAAAAAATAAAAATGAAATTCAAATGAACTTTATTTCTGAAGTTACTCTAGCACTTTAAAACTGTACATTATTACTGTTTGACTGTTTTAGTCTGCTATAGAGTCATCTGCCCTAGCTGCACAGAAGAAAGCTTTGGGTGTGGCAGGAGAAGGGGGATGGGCTCCAAATGTTCCTCTGATGAAAAATCTGCTCACAAACATCTTTTAAAAGATAGCTTAAATCAGATAAATTGCAAAACAACTTTTTTGGATGTCAACACTCCATACACATATCCAAACTATCAGCGCTTATCTGCAACGCCCCCCTTTTTGTCCTTCTCACTCTTTTATCTATTCCTTTCATTCTCTTATACTGTTATATATCAAAATTTCAGTCATCCTACTGCAAAGCAGCTCCATAACTGAAGTCATGCAGCAGTTGGGCTTGAATAAAACACCTCATTCTTTCTTCTCCATAGCAAGCCTTACTTTCTCCCTGTGCGCTTCAAACCTGGTTTGAATTAGTACGTCTTTCCAAACCACTACATTCCATTACCCCCTCCTCCCGTCACCCCTCTTACTCACTCACTACCCACACCCTGGTCAGAGCTCCAGGTTAGGAAAATCAAGGCAAAATGTTAAAGCATTTGCAAACTAAATTAAAAAGATCACATTTTATAAGGCTAACAAGAATGATTCAAACAAATTAACATTTCTCATATATATATATATATATATATATATATATATATATATATATATATATATATATAT